GAGCACTGTATCATAGACAGACCTGGTTAAACTGTTCTGAAAAGGACATTCATAGTTTGCCTATTTTATTCCTCTTTGTATCTCTATACTTAAATATTTTTTCTCCTCCCCACTTCAACCCATAATTTTGAAAATTGCATTACTTCCAGAAAAGGTGAAATGATTACACAATTTAGAAATCAGCATATCTATCACCAAGATTCACCAACTATTAACATTTTGCCACATTTGCTTTAACACTGTATGTATATACATATACATTTTAAAATCTGTATCTCACTTAGTTGCACACAAATTCAAGAAAAAGTCCTCAAATTCTTTTCTAGATTTTCCCTGATACATCTTACATATAAAACTACAAGTTGGGTGTGAATTAAATAGGAAAGATAAATATGATTATATTTCTGCAAATCTGTCCAATATGTACATGAAAATCCTGTCCTGCTCTACTTTACAGATAGAGAATAAGCACCATAGCATAAATTCAATAACAGCACTGATACATCTATTATTGCATACTTGTGGGGAAAAGGTACTAAATAGGAAGTAAAAGATCTGATTCCATCCCCTTCCCTATATTTTTAATTATTATGGTCTCCCAAGGCTTAGGCTCCTTATCTGTGAAAAGAACCCAATAATATTTACATTGCCCTCCTTCCCTAGTTCTATAGAGAGAATAAATGAACAGCACAATGTATAGATGGATAATGAATGAAAAGGAAAAAGCACAATTCTGATAGTAATATTTATAATATTGAAAAAAAAAAAAAAACAACCTCATTGCCATAGAGTCAGATTCAACTTACAGCGACCCTTCCTTGGGATTCCAAGGCAGCATCACTAGGGAAGTAAATTGCCCAATATTTCTTCCAAGTTATAATACAAACTGATATATAAACTATTTCAAGGTTTGATGTCATGCAAACAAATAAGGTGACTTCATTTAAAAAAAAAATACTACAACTTTGCTGGGACAGATCCACAATTAAACATTTCAGCATATACTAAAGACTAAAAAAATTAATAGATGCTTACTTCAATTGCTGGGAGCTCTGGTAGCATAGTGGCTAAGGCACTTGACTGCTCACCAGATGGCTGGCGGTTCAAACCCATCAGCCACTCCTCGGAAGGAAGGTTGGGCAATCCTACTTCCGTAGTGATACTGCCTCGGAAACCCAAGGAGGGGTCGCTATGAGTCAGGGCTGACTCGACGGCACATAACAACAACAACTTCAATTGCTAGAGACTTCTTCTCAACAGTACTCCTATGCTAGTTTCTTTTCAACAACACTTTTCATCCTTCGATGTTGTAGAAGGTTATTTTCCAATCAATGTATTTTAAGACAGAAATAATGGACAAATATATTCATTACAGGAACAAACAACATAAGGTATCCATTCATGTATTTCCATTTTAATTTTTTAGTTTTCCCTCTCAAAAAATACCTGAGTCCCCATTATGTACCAAGTATTGTACTGAGCATAGGGTGCATACTTTTGATCAAGTGCTTGCTTTCATGCAGTTTATACAAATTGCCAAGATATGCAATATTACAGGGCCTATATGGTATAGAAAATTAGTATTCACCAAATGTAACTATTCTTTCCTTGCTGGATCCATAGAAAACTGTGCTTCCTGATCTCTTAAAGTAAAGATAGGCTGCATGATTATTTATGATAAATGAACTGTAAGCAGAAATAACACTTCTAGTCTAAAACAGTAGAAGGTACCTGTTCATTTGGAAACAGAAAGTGGTGGTAGTTGCACAACATGATGAAAGTATTTAATGTCACTGAACTGCACAAGTGAAAACTGTTGAAAGGGCAAAGTTTCTGTTTTATATATATATATATATACATACATACATACACACACTCTCCAAAATAAAACAATTTTTCAAAAAAGTATTTGTTCCATCCTCTAGCCTTCTCTTCCCCTCCTAAGACCATAAACAGGTTCAGGAATTGTATCCTGGATACAATTCTTCCATCAGAATAGCCTCCCCTCTGCCATGCCCACAGGAATACCTCTGTTTGGCCCTTGGCCTCTCAGCCTGGCTTACACCCTACTCAGGCAAGTGTTACAAAGCTCTTTTAGCTCTGCCAATAGGTGCATGTAGGTGCATCCCACTCTGCCCACAAGACTTCTATACAAAGGCACTCAGCTTTCTTGCTTTGTGGGCCAGCAAGACTACCTCTCTCTCTTGTGCTGGCTTCTTGATTCTCCTGCCACCATCTCTGTCATCATCTCAGCTGTTGTCTCTTCACAGGGATCTCAGGTCTCCAGAGGTGTTCCACTTCTGGCATAGTTGCATAGTTTTGATCAAGTGCTTGCTTTCATGCAGTTTATACAAATAATGAAGATATGCAATATCACAGCAAATAGTTGAACTTTAGGAGGTTATCAGCCTGAATTTTTCATGGATGAGCTGCCCAAGAGCATGTTTTGCCATGAGTAAAAACTAAATTTTTATTTTGTTACACACTGGTAAGTCATTGAAATTTCAGAATTTCTCAATTGTTTGTCTATACGGTTGTTTTTATTATAAAAGAAACTTGCCTACATTAATTATTACAGCCTAAAAGGCTGCCTGGCACAAAACAGATATTCAATAAATACTTATAGAATAAATGAATGGATAAATGAATACTGCTTTTGTCAGTTGCCATCAAGTCAATTCCAATTCACGGCGACCCTATGTATGCAGAGAACTGCTCCATAGTCTCTGTGTGACCTTTTGGAAGCAGATTCCCAGATGTGTCTTCCAAGGCACCTCCAGGTAGGTTTTAAACACTAACCTTTCAGCTAGTAATCAATGTTGTTATACTTAATCATTTGCACCACCCTGGGACTCTGAATAGAGAAACAGTCCATGTAAATATGGAAAAATATGTAAGGAAGTCTAACACAGTAGTTAAGAACTTGAACTGGAAAATTTCCATGCAAGTCTGTATTCCAATTCTGCCACTTGCTAGCTGAGTGGCCCAGGGCAAGTTTCTTAGCTACATGCCACTTTCCACATCAATAAACTCAGGTTAATAATGTAAGGGTTGCTGAAACATTAAATTAAATGAGCTAATACATAGCATTAAAAGTGTTTAAGAAATGTTAATGTCCTGTGGTGCAGTATATTGCCTAGTATGGCTCTTTTATCCATGGTCTTGGTGACTCCCACTAGATAACTGCATGGAACTATAAATAATGTAAGGTGCTTGTGGCTCACCAGAGGATCAGATAGTTGGCTAATAATGTAAATAAAGTACATGGCACCCATAAGGGGTTGGGACTGTGCAAACAAGATATATGGAACCCTAATATGGGCACTGGTTAGTTTTGTCATTCCACTAGGCTTAAAATGTGCCTTCCTAGAGGAAGAAGGGGGACCTCATTACCATCAAGACAGAAGAGCCAGGAGTGGAACACCTCTGGAGACCTGATATCCCTGAGAAGACACAACAGCTGAGATGATGGTAAAAAGATGGTGGCAGGAGAATCAAGAAGCCAGCACAAGAGAGAGAAGTAGTCTTGCTGGCCCACAAAGCAAGAAAGCTGAGTGCCCCTGTGCAGAAGTCTTGCTGGCAGAGTGGGATGCACCAGCATGCAACTATTGTCAGAGCTAAAAGAGCTTTATAATACTTGCCTGAGTAGGGTGGAAGCCAAGCTGAAAGGCCAAGGACTAAAGAGAGGCATGCCTGTGTGCATGGTAGAGGGGAGGCTATTCTGATTGAATTGTATCCAAGACACAATTCCTGAATCTGTATTCCTGAACCTGAATCATAACTTGTAACTTCCCTAATAAACCCCATAAGCATGAGTATCATCTGAATTCTGTGTAGCACTGCAATGCATTATCGAACCCAACAGAGAAGTAATAAGTGCCATGGGAGGGATGGTTGGTGTCAGAATTGGTAAAAAGGTTGGAGGGTGGCAGCACGTCTGCCTTCCATCTTATGGGAATCAGCTTCAAGCTATTGCTGTTGATCATTCTCTCTTCAACTCATGAAGTTAGAGGAGATCAGAGGATGCAGCCACCCCCATGCCCTTTTTGCATGTCTAAACTGTTATTGTTGTTGTTAGATGTCATTGAGTCAATGCTGACTGATAGCAACCACATAAGTCAAGGTAGAATTGTTTTATAGGATTTTCTAGGTTGTAAGCTTTATGAGAGCAGATCACCAGGTCTCTCTCCCACAGAGCCACTGGATGAGTGTAAACCACCAAACTTTCAATTAGTAGCTAAGCACTTAACCATTGAGCCACAGTGCTCCTTAATGTCTAAGTAAATGACTACAAATAAAGAGACTAGTTGTTATTTTTTCTAGTTATCTGGAAAAACAGTTATTCAAAAATAAGACCAAATGAAATATAATATGTTACAATTAAATTTGATATTTGAAAGAAGTATAGGTAGTACCTGACTTATGATGTGTTTAAGACACAACAAACCACACTTATGACTGTCTAGGTTTTTTTTTGGGGGGGGTATATCTTATTGTCAATAATCTGTTCTACATACAACATTGTAGCGAATAATTTCCTGACATTTTCATTCTCAGATTCTCGATGTTATGATTTACTGTTCAAAATACTGCTTTATAGCAGGCAATAATGAAAACTGAAAACAAACAAAAAAATGTATTCAACTTACATTAGAACTGACTCACAACACAAGTGGAAACTACCTGTATTAAAATTTCACTAGCAATTATGCACTTTCCTCTTTTAAGACAAATTATACTTCCCTCCACATCTAATAAAATATTTATTGGTTCAAGACCTATTGTTGTTGTTGTTGTTATATGCCGTCGAGTCGGCCCCGACTCATAGCGACCCCTCCTTGGGTTTCCGAGGCAGTATCACTACGGAAGTAGGATTGCCCAACCTTCCTTCCGAGGAGTGGCTGGTGGGTTTGAACAGCCAGCCTTCTGGTTAGCAGTCAAGTGCCTTACGCACTATGCTACCAGAGCTCAAGACCTATTAGTAAAGTGAAAATGCTTACTGTAGTGACTCTGTCTCCACCATTAGTAACTTGTTTGTAATAAGGTGATCCTGAAAGAACTCTCCAGGCAGAAAGGCCACAGCTTGAAGCTTTTGATATGCCCACTTCAGCAGTTTCACATCCTCCAACCAATAAAAGCCTAAAAAGGGGAAGAAAAAAAAAAAATCAAAGAACTGATAAATTACAAATATGAGCATGCTGCCAAAACAAAGAAAGCAGAAAAAGTCAGAAGACAACAGAGCTCAATACTATTACATACACAATCCTGTAGTAACAGTAGAAACAATAATCGCTGAGTAGATACATAAATAGACACAAGCTGAACAGGTGTAGGAAAGTAAATGGGACTACACTCATACACACACACACACACACAGACATGCACATATATACATACATATACATATGTGGTTGACAGATGCTATTTCTATGTATGTATTTACATGTACTGTAAATATATCCATGAATATAGTAGAGCACAGAGAGGGCAAAGTTACAAAAAACTTCTTAGCTATAACTAAACACCTTGAGGGAATGAATCATTGGGCCTGGGGATTCAGGATCACAGTCTCAGTCTCAGGGGACATCGAGATCAACTACTACAACATAGTCCGCAAAGAAAATGTTATAAATCCTACTTTGGTGAATAACGACTAGGGTCTTAAAAGCTTGTGAGTGGCCATCTAAGGTGCAACTATTGATCTCTCCCCATATGGAGCAAAAAAGAGAGAAGAAAATCAAAGGCATAAAGAACCAATTAATCCAAAGGACTACTGGACTACATGAACCTCAGCCTCCACGACCTTGAAACTTCTAGAAAAACTAGATGGTGCCCAACTACCACTACCACTCACTCTAAAAGAAATCACTATAGAAGGTCCTGGATACAGTGGGAGAAAAATTTGGAACAAAAGTCAAAATCATAAGAAAAAGACCAGGCTCCCTGCTCAAATAGAGACTGGTGAATCTCTGAGACGTTAGCCTTTAGTCACGCTTCAAGCCTGTAACTGAACTCACTCTCATTGTTCAAGTTTCAGCCAAACAACAAGCTGGTCTATAAGGAAAACAGTAACACCAGACTAGTATGCACTCAGAACAATCAACATTTGAGATCAAAAGGGTAGCATGTGCCTAATACAAAGTTCTGAAGACAAGAATGGATAGGAAAGAGGGGTAAATGGAAAAAAGAAACAAAGGAGGACGTAGGATGAGTACTGTTACATTGCAGCAAATGCAATGGCATGAAACAAAATATTATGAATTATTATATAGAAAATTGTTTTGTTCTGTAAAGCTTCAGCCAAATCACAATAAAAACTTAAAAAATAAACAGAAAGAAAACTAAATGAAAATTATTATATAGTGAACACAAACCAAAAAACCAAACCCACTGCCATCAAGTCAATTCCAACTCAGAGTGACCCTATAGGACAGAGTAGAACTGCCCTATAGTGTTTCCAAGGCTGTAAATCTTTACAGAAGCAGACTGCTTATCTTTCTCCTGCAGAGTAGCTGGTGGGTCTGAACCATTAACCTTTCAGTCATCAAGAAAATGCTTTAATTACTGCATTACCAGAGCTCCTAATAGTAAACAGAGAATATAAGTAGTTTAGAAGAAATCAAACAGGATCCATGCTTCATACCATGTACAAAAACAGATTCAAAATGGACTGAGGACCTAAATGTACAAACTAAAACCATAAAATTCTTAGAAGAACAAGCAGAGGCAATGCTGTCAAGCTAGTACCAACAACAGATTATCTAATATAATAACTAAAGAACAAACAGCAAAAGAAAAAACAATAAATGGGACCTCATGAAATTTGAAAATTTTTGATCAACAAAAGAATTTACTAAAAAAGGTAAAATGACAAACTACTATCTGAGAGAATATCTTCAAAAACCATATATCCAACAAGAATCCAATATCTGAAATATATATAAAATTTGACAACAAAAATACAAAGAACCCAGTCATAAAATGGGAAAAGGACATGAATACACATTTCACCAAAGAGAATATTAAAATGGTCACCAAAAACATTAAAAGATACTTAGCATCTTTAGCTATCAGAGAAAGACAGATCAAAACCACGATGAAATACTCCCACTGGAAAGGCTAAAGGCACTCTGATGGCACAGCGGTTAAGAACTTGGCTACTAACTAAAAGTACAGCAATTCGAACCTGCCTGCCACTCCACAGGGGAAATCTGTGGTAAGTAGCTTCCATTTAGTCTTGGAAATCTGCCTGTGAGGCAGTTCTACTCTGTCCTATAGGGTCACTATGACTCAAAATCAGCTATACAACAAAGGATTTGTTTTTTATTCATTTAGGATAGCTAAGATTAAAAAAAAAAAAAAGTTGGTGAGCATTTAAGAAAATTGTAATCTTTGCATTTGCAAATGCAAAATGGTACAGCTGTTGTGGAAAGCAGTGTGGTATACCCTTAAGAAACTAAAAATGGAACAATCACGCGACCCAGCAATTTCACTCCTAGATATACCCAAAAGACTTAAATGCTAAGATTCAAAAAGAGACTTATACACCCATGTTCATTCATAATAGCCAAAAGTGAGAAACCACCTAAATGCCCAACAGATGAATTGTGTGGTGTAGTAAATTACTTAGTGTGGCTTTTCTACCCATAAGTCTTTGTAAACTCCGAGGTGGAATTTGCCATGAGCAACTGAGGAGCTCCTGATTGCTAAAGTTATCCACCTGGGGTATTTCTGTTGAGCAGCAGCACAAAGTAATTTTCTGGGAAGGTCACTCTCTCTCAGGTGTATAGAATTCTGATGTTATGATTGGTTAGGTGGCCACTCTGCCAAGCTCAAAAGGAGGCCTCCAAGAGGCAGAAGAAGTCTCTCTGAATGCTGGCTGAGAAAGACGTACTGCTGAAAGAAACACACTCCTGAGAAACATGCACTGATGAGAAGGAGGCACTGAGAGACACACACTGCTGAGAAAGAGACACCGAGAGATACACACTGCTGGGAGAGAGAATGACCAACTGTTGGCTGAGGGACAGCGGGCTGAGAGAGACTAAGCGTACTTCCTGAACTTGAATTGCAGCCTGGTGCTTCCCTAATAAACCCCGTAATCTGTGAGTTCTGTGTGGCCACTGCAGCAAATTATCAGACCTAGCAGAGAAGTGGTGGGTGTTGCGGGAGGAACTCTGTGCAAGGGCTAGAGGGAGGCAGCATGTCTGGCCTCACAGGATAGGCTTTGGGCTACTGATGGTGATTCTGTCTTCCTCTTATGGGGTTACAGGAGGTCAGAAAATGCAGCCTCCCTGCCCCTTTGGCAAATGGATAAACGAAATGTGGTAAATACATACAGTGGAATACTACTCAGCCAGAAGGAGAAACAAAGTCTTTACATACGCTACAACATGGAGCCTGAAGATATTATGCTGAATGAATAAGCCAATTACAAAAGTATAAATACTGTACAACCTCACTTATCTAAAAAGACAAGAAATGGCAAATGTACAGAAACTGAAGTTTATTAGGGTTCCCAGGAGTATGAAGGACTGGGAAAAAGGATAATAACAGTGATGGAAAAACCACACAAATTAAGGGAATCACATAGCTGATTATTGTTATTGCCATCAATAAGCTGTACACCTATAAAAAGTTGAATTGGCAGAAGCTGTGTTATCAATATATTTACAACAACAACGAAGAGTAGCTGCTGAGGCTGCTTATGTATATCTAGATATCTCATGGGATTTGTTTCCTTGGTTCAGAGGTTTAGGGTCATGGGACAGCCCAGTTAACTAGTTTAATAATATAGTTAGTGCTTCTATTCTACCTCCTAGTTTGTTGTACAGTGTCGGAGGTCTTAAAATCTTGAACGTGGCCATCCAAGGCACAACAACTGGTCTCTATTCACCTGGAGCAACAAAAGAAGGAGAGTCAGGAATAGGAGGAGGAAATAGAATGTGTGGCCTCCTTTGCCATGAGACCAGAAGAAATGGATGATGCCCAGCTACCATTATGAACATTTTGAACAAAGATTTCATAGAAGGATCCTAATCAAAAGGGGGAAAACACAGAATTTCAAATTCTCCTGGATTCCAGACTTTCACTTGCCATGGATGGTGGAGGAACCCCTGAAACTATTGCCCAAGAAAATCTGTAAACTTTAAACCAAAAATATCCCCTGAAGTCATCTAAAAATTGAACAGTTTAGCTTAACCAGTAAAAATGGTCTGCCTTGAGCATTATTCTCTTTTAGGAACTATCTAGATGAGATCAAATTGACAACAGCACTCAAAAGATTAGACAGGGACCTCAGGGAGCAGACAGAGAGAGAGAGACAGAGATAGTGAAGGGCAGATCAATGAATTAAAAGAAAACAGTCTGAGTTAATGAGGGAGGAACATCTAAGAAGATGCGGGTGAGAATAGTTGCTCACTCAAATAATGTAATCAATGTCACTGAATGGTACATGTAGAAACTGTTGAATTGTGTACGTTTTGCTGTGTACATTCTCAACAAGAGAAAATAAAATTTAGAAAACACATGGCAAAGGGGATCTTTGCATCTGCAACTGAACTTGTCAATCAGTCGACTTTAAAGAAGAAAAATTAACCTGGATGGTTAATCTAAACTAAAAAAAAAAAAAAAAAAACCACTACCATAGAGTGGATTCTGACTCATAGCAACCCTCATAGGGTTTCCAAGGCTATAAATCATTATGGAAGCAGATTGCCTCATCTTTCTACTGCAGAGCAGCTGGTGGATTCGAATTGCGGACATTTTAGTTAGCAGCCCAATGCTTTAACCACAGAGCCACGAGACAGGGTTCAATATAATCACAAGGGTTCTGAAATGTGGAAGAGGAATGCACAAGTGTCAGTGTCAGAGTTATGCACTATAAGAAAGATTAAACTAGCCATTGTTGGCACTGAAATGGAAGGGGGGCCACAAGCTAAGGAATCTAACAGCCTGTATAAGATGGAAATCGCAAGAAATCAGATTCTCCCCTAGAGCCTCCAGAAAGGAACACGGCCCTGCTGAAACCTGGATTTAACCCAATAAAACCCATTTCAGACTTCTGATCTTCCTCACTATAAAAATAATAAATTTATTGTAAGCCACTAAGTGGGTGATAATTTGATACAGCTGCAACA